CACAGCTGAAATAGCTGGCTGTTTGGGGTTTTTTGAATAGCCTAGCTTTCTCTATTTCAGAGATCATTCTTAAGAAAAAAAAAATATTATTGCCTTTTCCTTCTTCCTAATTACCATTAATTCCCTTCCACATTCTCTTTCGGAACAGATAAGCCCAGCCTATGAGAAGTATTTGAAGCCACTTCTTCACAACACACTATCGAAATTATGAAGACTACACATTTCCTCCTGTTCTTTGCGCAGCAGTACATTTATGAAGCATCAGTAATGACTAACCAGAATTAATAATCAGTTGCTTACTCACAGTTGCAACAAGTATGAAACAAGACTCTTAGCCAGCCATTTGCATTTAATCAGACAGAAGCCAAACAGTGATGAGTGGTACCCACTGCTATGAGGCAATCTAAGCAGAAATAGCCTAGGGTTTGCTGTTTTCTAACCTGGAGTGTCCTGATACCGTCAAAACTATGCCATTTGGCTTTCTTATTCTTTTTCTAAATCCACTATATGGCAATTAATGACAAAAAAAAACCCAACAACACAACACTACATTACGAGCTCCCCTCAGCCTGTTGTAACTGTACAGTGCCTTAAAAAAAAATAACAAAAAACAAAGAACACTTTACTGAAAAACACAAGGAAGGTAAAATTATGCTCCTTGGTTTCCAGGAACAACTTGTTCTCTTACATCAAGAAGTATATTAGAAAGTGCATCTGTTTGGACAATTAAAATAGCTCTTAACTTGCTCAGCAGCAGAGTATTCCTGGCTAATGAAGATTCAGACAAAGAGATGACAACTCCAGTCTGCAGCACTTACTTTCCCATCAGCAGAGCTGCTTATATTGTCTTTCTATAAATCTTGGGCTCCAATAAACTGTATTATTTGGAATACTGCTTCTCTAATTATTACACTTCATAATTATGGAAAGGGCAGGCTGATCCAAGCCAGTCATTAATTTGCTAGTAAATGAAGTGTTGCAAAGAACATCTTGTGATTATAATTCAATGCCAGTTAACACAGATATTTCTTACCACATGTTGCAGGAAACAGCCACTTCTCCTGAGTTTCATCAATTCAGCTTTTTTCCCCCCTTTATAGAAAGAATAAAGCTCTTGCTGCCTTGCATTACAAAAGTCAAAACCCCGACAGTGTATGAAAAGGGGGAGACAAAATATGACAAATGCACCTCTAAGACAGGCCTTCTGAGTGAGAGATGGGATGGAAAGCTCCCACCTTCAAGACCAGCAGCTACCATAGAAATCCAGACCCCCAGCTACATCCCCAAGGAGCTGTAGTCCACACAGCTCAGAGAGCAAAGCCGATGTGGTATGGAACACTTGGGACAGGAACTTCGCAGGAGAACGCGATCCATTCATCAAAACGGGTATCAACTCTCTTACTCCCAACAGCATCCAAGTTAGAGCATAACCAGAAATTCTTTTAGTAACTACGACAAAGTGCTGAACTGGCTAATCAAAATTCAGTAAAACTGCAGAATTTGAGTGCCTTGAACATCATCAGAAACAGCACTCCACCGTTAAAATTATATATGTGAAGTCACTAGATACATCACTGACAAACCAAATAATGCTACTCAGCAGCTGCAAATATTTAGGCTCTGTGTTCCCTCCATCCCTGTCCCTTTAGCCAGTACAAATACTTGCCATCCTTCTGTTAGTCATAATGCAGTTTTCAAAACACAAGCTTTTTCCATGAGGACAGTTGAATCAACTGATTAAGATAAAAAGGAACAAAGTACATCGTTAATGGACAAGAATGGAGCCCTAGCAAAGCATCTGAACTACTCTGCAGAAGGGAAAAACAGCTTTTGGGTGTTTTTTTTTTGTTTGGTTGGTTTTGTTTGTGCTTTTTTTAAGTATGAGAGGTCTAGAATACAAGAAAAATCACAAAATAGTATTCTGTATTTCACATTTTTATTAGCTTCTTTCTGGCAGGCATTACAATTGGGAATAATATTGCACCAGGCATTAAAAATATGAATTCTACCACAGGGACATTTTGCATTTAGAATCCAATATAAATATTTCTAATCGTATTTCCATGGCTACAGATAATATTTGGTTGCTTGATTTATATGCATAGAAAGAAACAGTTGTCATAACTGTAAGAAACTGTACTTATCAAGTACTTTTAAAGGGTGGGATTTGTTTTCCTAGAATATTACAATACTGTTTATTGATTTAGAAACTAAATTAGTCTACATGATAGCAGCTTTTCCCCACTGCATCTTAAATTGTGTTTGTTTCTTGCTCCCAGTGTTGTAGCATTAGACAGATTAGAAACCATTTAAACAGAGGTAATTTTAGCACTTTAAGTTGCGTCAGAGAATTGTGTTAATGACACAAAATACTCTATTGTACTAATTCTTCGGACTCCCTCTTTCAAACAAAAAGGTGTCTTGACTGAACAGGCACATGCATTTTTTATTTTTTTTTTTCTGAACAGGACAAAAGGACAGAGCTGCTAGAGAACAGAACTCCTCCAGTCCTTATTGATAAACAATAAATACTCGTATAAAAAAAAGCCCACATTGTTGCTTTAGTCAAAATCCAGACTCTCTCTCGGGTTTACTGTCCAATTAAGTTGCTAATCACTGAAGTGGCTCCTGTGGAGTCAGAATCAGTCATCTGTTTTCCGTGCCAGTCTACAGAAAGTCCAGTTATGCTCCACTGTGTTTTCGTTGGCACGCTCGCTCATATGATGAACTCTGGTATTCCTGATCGTGAAGCCTTGCTTTGTGATGTACTCCATCAGATGGACTCTGAGCGACACTTCCTGGTGGTAATCGCATGGCCCAAAAGTGAAGGAAACCTGGCAGTCCCTGGTGTCCATCATATGCTTATTCCACTTGGTGAAGTGGTTTGAAATACCTTCCAGTAATGAATGGACTTTCGTCGTGATAGTGAGCTGCGTGATGATTACAGCCACGGGGTTGGAGTACTTGGAAAGCTTCCGGGTGCTGGACAGCTCCACCACCTCCTCAAAGGTATCCACGGGATACAGCGGCTTGGGGTCATTAAGACACTGAATTAGCGGTTCAATCTGATAGAAGTCCGCTTCTTTCCGAAGTAGGTCGAACTCTTTGAAGTCCAGTGGCAAAGTGAGCTCTGAGGTCCTTAAAAAGTTAAGAACATAACGGAAAAGTGGTCCATCTCTGTCAATAAAGTAATTGCCCTGAGAGTCCCTGGCAGTGGGGAAGTCTCCCCTGAACATGGCCCCAAGCATTGAGTCAGGATATCTCGTTAGAGTTGTGAGGGATGTCGTATACATGTGTCCACCCACATTTAGCGTGACTGGATCAGTCATCTAGAAAGAGAGAAATTGCAGAGTTTATCAAGCCACCACAAGAAGATGCAATCACCTCACTGACACACATGGCAAATACTGTTTGAAAACTGCAGGCTCTGGAGAGAATCACGCTTCTCCCATTCGAAGCCTTCAAGCGGTGTTTAAACCCGAACAAATCCAAGCCACCTAGCAACAAGGCACAACTGGCAACTAGACAGGATGTTAACATTCAGAACGCGCATTTCCAGAATGCTTTAGAAATCTGAACAACTGAGATACTGTCACAGAAGTAAGTTTTGCATTTGGGCAACAAGTTTTTTTCCTATTCTACAGATGGGGAAATGAGAACAGAGAGATTTCCTGAAGAACAAGTTAGTCTGAATGAGGCCCATCAGCGCTCCTTACTTTCACAATCTGTTTCTCATTCTAGAACAAAAAAAAAAAGAAAGAAGGAAAAAAAAAATAAAATCAGCTGAACAAGTCTTATGCCTCTCCCTCAAAAGAAGTTGACAGTGCAAGTTTAGACACAGGACCAAGAGCTCACAATCAAAATAACTCATGCACTGGTTAAAAGACAACATTAAAACAAGCAAACAAAAAAGAACTTTCAGCTTCTAACTCTAAAAAGAAATATTTAGTAGCAAATTAGCATGCTGCATAGAAGAAGGGGGCAGAGCACAAACCAGTTTGCATCAGCTTCCAGATAGCACGTGAAGAAGCAAGACAGAAAGGAACATAAATCCCATCTGGCCACCAACCCTAACAACCAGGACTGAGGCCAGCCAGAGAAAAGAGACATATGCATGGCAGCAGAATGTTTAGAGAAAGAGAAGAGGAGAAAATTAAGATGTGTTTGTCTGGTTTGAAACATGGATTACAAGGAAAAATATTTTTCTTTATAAATAAAATTACAAAGTCCTTAAAATTATATGCAGGAAACACAAACTACTTTCAGCCTTTGTGTGTCAGGAAAATGATAACAGTGAGCTTAAGGCATTAGTTAAGTACTCACTGATTGTACCTAGGAAATATGAATCTGAGCTCGCTCTCCCCACAAGTAGCATGCGAGGTGAAGCACTCCAGAGAATGTAAGTAAGCTGTTGTAACATGCATAGTTTTTCTTCTCACGTGACTGAAGCTCTGGATCTATACAAGACAGATCTGGAAGGATTCTTACCGCAGGATCTTGAAAACCCTGTTGTACCGCACAGCGCACACTTACAGACACTCACTTACCATATATCCCCAGTCTCCATTATCCATCTGTTCAATTACTTGAACTGTGATATTCCAAGTTTAACAGAAGGCTGCTGAAAGGATACGCGATTCACCTCTTATTATCTCCCTGCAGGAAAAAGCACACACAAAAACACAAAACAAAGAACAAAACATGGCAGACCATCAGTACCTAGAAGAACAACCGAGGGGAATGCTTTCTAATCAAAGGCAGGCTCTCTGCCAGCAGAGCATTCGGCTACAAAGCCACATTAGCAGGAGAATCTACAAACGAGCTTTTCCCTCCTCCCTTCACACTACCCACAGGACTGCCTCCAGAGCACACGGGTAATCACTCCACCAGCTGTCTGACCACCCCAATTTTGTTAAATAACAAGCAATGTGCCTCTGAAGATGACATACATTCACAAACAGACTACCTTTCACCTGGGAAACTGTGAGTACTTTGAAAGAGAGATGTCCTTTTCCCAATCAAAAAAAGTTTATTTAGCCACTATTGAGGTCATACATATGATCCATTAATATTAGTCAAAATTCCCATGCTCCAGTTTCAAACTGCAGAAGAATAAATCAAGCATGAAAGTCAATGAACAGTAAGAAGAGAAAAAAAAATTCACTGCAGAATTAATAATTCAGTAGGGGAGAACTGCAATTGATGGCAAGAACACTAATCTACAAAGAGTACGAATGGATTTCACAGGCACATACACCCTCTTGGAAGAAATCTCTTTAGCGACAAGCCGGAGGACATCAAACATGTTTTCAACAATGCTCCGACAAAACCAATTTGAGAAGTGGTTCATGCCATAACTTCCCAGAAGATGCTGAACTGCTGACTTGCATAACAAGGGAACTCTCTCTGCACGAGCATGGCAAGGGAAATCCACAGCCCAGGTTGTGCAACTTGAGGTGGGGGAAGTGAATGACCCCGGACACCAGTGGGGATTTTCCAAAGGTGGCCTGTCAACCATGTCAAGCAACGCATGGACAGGGAAGCCAGTCATCAGTAAGCCTACCCAGAGCCTGCCTCTCTGCTAGAATTGCTGAAAATTTAGGTCAGTCTGTTTTAAGTAGGGTACAGCTTCTCAGCTTTGTTTATTTTTACATCTTAAAGACCATACAGTTACCAAGACTTCTGCTCCCATCCTCTTTACTAGCAAACTTCGACACACAGTCACCCAGCTAAAAGCAGCACAAAGAGTTAGCCAAGCCAGGACCCTACAGTCCAAAACAACTGAAGGTTCGCAGCTAATTCCCAACCAAAAAGATTACTCGCCCTTCTCATTCCTAGCAAACGAGGTCAGGCTCATTCACAACAGAACAAGGCAGCACATCCCACCTCCCGCAGCTCTGCTACTGTGCCCAAACCCACAGCCTGGGCACAACAGGGTCCTGCAGGTCGGGTCTTTGGGGGCCGGCAGCGTGAGCACTGCCTCAGCTGCATCTCAGATGTATTAAAGAGTAGAAAAAACAAAATCAGTATATGAAAATTGTGAGGTCAGACAACAGAAGACTAAGGAATGCTAAGATACAGAACTAGTCATACCAGGATCCTATTTTTACAAATTAGAGATGGAGCATGCCTCAAGAAAGTACATTAAAGCACCCCCCACCCCAACAGCAGATAAACCTGGGATGCCGGCTCTTTTGCCAACCTCTGCTCACAGATCAAGAAGAGAATTCATTCAGGTTTTCTTTATTTGCAATTGTCATTCAAATACAGCTCATCGACTTTTATCCATAGCCCAGACCTTTTAAATTTCAGCACCTTTTTTTTCTTAAGGAAAACATACTTATTGGTGTTATTCTGGTGAAGTACACCACCAGGAAAACATGCAGATGCATTAAAACCATAGGAGAGACTGGTACAGGTTTCTGATATTCAAGGAAAACATTCACTTGAAAGTAAAATGATGCAGCCAGCCAGAAACTTCACTGATAATCATGATAGAAGAGATCTGTGGTCTTAATAAAATTTACTGGAATTATACATTCAGAATATTTCAAAGACAGACAGATGTCCAGAGTTATTTAAACTGGTGGACAGATACTATGTTATTTTGGTCAGCATCTAAGTCCACCCTACAGATGAATCAAGGCTGTCTTTATCAGGGAAAGAAACAGTTGACGCCACCTGTCTGTATGAGGGCATGAACTGATCTTTGATCACAGCACTGGTACGTAACATGGGAGTGAATAATTTACGAGAGCAATTAGCTGAATCAAACCCAGCATTCAACATGGAAGTGGCATCGAGAAGTCTCACCAACCTTTGTGTAAGGACCCAGAATCACTAGGCACGCGCAAACCTCCCTGGCAAAGCCAGTGCTGGAGCGAGATGCACAACGTGAAGAGATGATACCAGGAAGCCATCCTAAAATGCCCGAGTGCGATCACAACTACTCTCTGCTTCCCTCATCAGCCTGGGAGCTCTGAATTTCTACACAACTTCACAGGTGAAAATAGCTCTGTTCGGGTACAACCTGAGATAAGGACTAGCAAACCACATCACAACAAGGGTGGGGACATACGCCCCTCATGCCATACACCCTTTCAATGATGCTTTAAATCCTTCCTGAATGAAATACAGCGATGAATCCGTGGGGGTGGGCAGACACTAATTCCATCCATACCCTGGGATGGGCAGGCTCGAGCCAGCTCTTGTCCCTGTGTCACACAACACACCACACCCAGGGACAGCCTCGCTAACATGGCTACTCACATCCAGAGAACAGGTGATATGTAGCCGTATCCCAAGACAATATGCCTTTAACAACCATAAGAAATACTTATTTAAGATGAAACTCAGCCAGACAAACTGCTGACACCATTTAAGCCAAAAAGGATGTTGTTCTGTGGCGAGAGCAGAAGCGCACAGACTATGTCAAACCACAGCCCTGCTTTCGTTAAGCTGCTTCTGCAAGCAGGGAGAAGATCTACACCATTAACATGGTCATCACAGCCGCTGCCGTAGCCTAGCACCAAGCACATCCAAAACCAGAAAGGCACAATGAGAGGCAAGTACCTTTGAAGAAAAGCACTCAAGTCATCATTTTATACTTAACAAACCAAACTGGATGCCTGCATTTATAAAATGCTCACCCTTATTTCATATATTATGACTCAAGAGGATTACAAGGCTATTTACCAGCAACACTACTGGAACAGGTAGTCCCATTAACTTCAGCAGGGCTTCTACCAGAACAGAGCTGCCAACGTGCAACCATTTTGCAAGCTGAAATTCAGAGAAAGCAAATGAGAGTCAGCTGAACATCCGCATCTGTGAAGATACACACACACACAGACACACACAAATGTGGGCTCAGGACAGGCCCAGGAGACGCCAGCAGCACTGCCAAGCGTTTGCACTGCTGGGACCACGCGCACTGTATTTGGTCAAGGGCATGGGGCTACACACTGCATCTGGGGAAAATCATAGTGTTTGTGTCATACGTGGTTACTTAAAGGAGGAGCAGAAATACACCTAACAGTTAAAAGCCCAGAGGCATGCACCACTTGATTTGCTCTACATGTTTTTCATCCAGTTTTTCTAACATAAGAATGAAAGGATGTACTTGTGGCACTAGTCTTTAATGGACAGTTTGGCTTCAGCATTACAACACAAGCTGTTTAACCTCCCCACAAAATGTTTAACCTCAGTAGTTACCTTAGATTTCTAGGTCAACGTAGAGTTGACAGGAATTTTACCAATGGCAACTTAAAAATTAAAAAAGAGCAAAGCTAGCACTGTATTCACACAGATAAATATACTTGCTATTTCAAGATACTCACCCACTTAGCAAGCTCCCTGTCTCTCACAATTAGATCTCCAAAGATGAGAAAAAGAAACTCCTGCCCCCAGCACAGTTATGCTGCACCTGGACAATCTCTCTGTTCCCCAGCCAGTTATAACATTTGAAAGGCAAGGTTTTATTGTAAATCATTATCGGTGACTCAACTGAACTGACAAGAACTAAGCTAGCACCAGTGATGGCTGTACTCCACCAAACGGTACAGTGAGATGATAGTCCGCAGAGTGAACCCATGAGGCTCCAGCAATGTGCTTCCGTAACCAGAAGAGCAAGGAGTAGGCAAGCTCTTAAAACAACCGTTTACTGAAATCTTCTGGTAATTCAGCAGATCAGCTTCACTGAAGAAAGCATCCACCACCTTCTACACATGCCAGATTTATAATGACTAATATAGTTTATTAAAAAATTAACTCGGTGCTTGCTTTTCTTTAGTTGCTTTTTACTAATACTTAGTCTTCACCTCAGGCAGGAGGGGAAAACGCTCACACCAGCCACTCAGCATTTTCACTTCTTTATGCCTAATTGCTTCTCTATAATTTCCAAGCTCCTGAAGTTTCCTTCCCTCCCCTGAGGACCTCTACAACCTCTGGGTTTAAGTCCAGGTTCCAAATTTTTATTTTAATTGCTACTTGTCTGAAGAACCTGCATCATGGTATCACTTTGACCCTCCCCTCACAACAGCCAAAGGAACACACCTCTATCCAGCCTGCTCTTGCTGACCCTGTGCTGCTGAAGCAACCCAAGGCACCCAGGCTTTCAGCACCCACAACAGCTGGGTTTTACCCATGTATTTTGCTCCTGTGAAACTAACTAGTAGTTGTCCGCATGTGGAAACCTGTCTCCAAACAGCTTTGGAGGAAGGCTGGTGTCAGAAACACTGAGCCTCCGTGCGCACACCAACGGGGCTCAGCACGTGCATGGACCAAGGACCAAAAGCAAGACAGGGACTGAAATCCTCCCTGTGAGCCCAGGCCAGAGAGGGGCTCGGGCCTGCAGCAGGAGCTGGGAAGTGCTGGTTTCTATCACAGAGAAGCCAGCAAACTGACAGTAGAAGAACTCTCCCCAGCATCACAATGATTCAGCAAAGATGCTGGAAATGAACCCAGACATTTTGCCTACCCCTCTGCAAGTGAGTCAAGAGCCCAGACCCTCCCACCCACCCCAAAACAGTGTCCCAGCTCTGCCTCCTCTCCTGGGTGGGGCAGGAGGACCCACTCCCCTCCCCACGTGGGGCAAGACCCACGTACCCCAGATGGACCCTGCCAGAGATCACTCCAGCTCCCACCCCGCTCCTTCCCCGCGCCCAACCGGGAACAGGACCCAGGCACCAGCTGTCCCATCCCCACCCTGCCACTG